AAATTCATAATGTCGTAAATAAGTCTGGTGTTTTCCCCAATATATCTTCCACTTAAAAAACCTGTCCACACTATTGACCACTATCAGCTATACTGCACTGTACTGGTTGACACTTCCCTGTACACCTATACACCTGTATTGGACATCTATATATTTATTGTGACAAGTGTATTTTTGTCTGAAGTGAAAATGGCTTCTACCAGAAGTGCTAGCACCAGCAACAGTAAAGGACAGTCGAATGGTCCTAATTCTGGAAGACTTGGTGACATATCAATGGGGAAAATGTCTACCGATGAAAAGCTGGATAATATTTATGTTATCCTATCCACGCTCAAAGAGGAAATACACTCACAGATGATAATTCTAAGAGAGGATACTAAAAAGGAAAACAGAGAACTTGTTGAAAGACTTGAATGTCGTGTTTTTGATCTCGAGGAGCAGAATGATGATTTAAAACAGGCAGTTAGCAAATTGGAGCAACACTTGGTAGAATCGGAAGATAGGCAATGTGAGCAGGACAATAAACTGAATGATTTTGAACAGCACGGAAGGAAAAACTCTATTCAAATAGTGGGACTTGAGGATTCCAACAAGAAAGAAACTGTTGAGGGGTGCGTTGAAAAGATTATGAAATTTATATATGACAAACTGAATGTCACAATTGATGAAGCAGATATCGACATAGCCCATAGACTTGGTGTGAACCAGCGGGGTAAACCTCGAAATATTATCTGTAAGCTAACCCACCGTAGGAGGAAATTCGAGATTATCAAATAGAGGAAATTACTGAAGGGAACACGATGCTACGTTATGGAGGACCTAACCAGGATCAATCAACAGACAGACTTAAAGAGGCTTTTGAAGTCAGGTGTGTTGAGAGATCCTGGAGCACTGAGGGGAAACTGTTTGTGTTACTGAAAAACGGGGGAAAACGGAGAATTCAATACAACACGATCCAGGCTTCGGCTTTCCTGATGAACGATGACAATTTTACCCGCAAGTGAACTTATCGGAAATCGGTGACTTTTTTATGTGCAAAAAAACCCATTATTATGTGTATTTATAAATGTATGTTTGCATGTAATAGTTGATGGTAGACTATGTATATAGGTATAAATGATATGCAGTCATACTTTTTATGTGTGTGGGATGAAACCGATAGAAAGGATATTGTGTCTTATAGCTAATATATTAAAAGTCGGTGAAGTATCGACAATATGGGTTATATCTTATCATTGTCCCAATTGGGACGGTTGCAACCGTGTAGGAAATTTTACCTATAATAATAGTCTTTTCTTCTTTCGGAACAACTCGGGATTTCTTAACGAATTTAACTGTTCATTTCAAGGAAATATTTGGGGAAACATTTAGAAATTGACAGGTTTTCAGTGGGACAGTCGTCGGATTAGTATATAGAGCGACACCGTTCATTCCGTACTGTATCGTATAAATACATGTATTTAGTTATTTTTGTATAATTTCACGTTCCTTTTTTTCTATCATTTTGAAATGGGTTTGTTTGGAGACAGTGATAAGCAAAACAAGTTTTTTTAAAAATATGTTTTGGGTGAAAACAACAATTGATTTGTTCTTTATTCTTTTAGTGGGACAGTCGTCGGAGTAGCATATGCACATGTATTTGTGATTGTTTCATTCTTCTGCCGGGACCTCGGTTATTTGTCATTTCATCATATTTTATTGAGTAAACAATAGGATTGAACAGCAGGCTAGGCCTATATGAGTTCTCTCCTTATGTTGACATGACAAAGACAAAGATAAATGAAATGGTTTGTAAGAAAATATTGATGCAAATCATATATAATAAGTAGCATAGACATATATATATATATAGCAGATGGTATAGGGGAGATAATTCCATGTATGTTTCAATTACATATAAATATTTAATTGATATTTTAAGCTATTCAATGCTCATATTAAAAAGTTAATCATAATTAATTAGTAATAGAAAAGCAATGCCCTAATGATATATTAAACAGAGAAATTTCTACAATTGTATTTTATTTTTTTATTTTTTTGCAAGTCATTAATGCCTCGGTTGAGACAGCAGATCCCACAGGGGTCATTGAGAACCGGGCTCCGAGACCGAGACAGAGTGTCGGCCAGAACATTCAGACGACCTGGAAGGTGCCCACCACAGTGGAGTTGTCTGTCGCCAGACAAATGGCCCTGCCCTGCAGGGAGGGTCGAAGGCCCCGAAGGGCCAACAGAACAGCACGCATTTCCAAAACATTGATGTGTTCTGAAAGCTGTTCCCCCGACCACACACCCGCCGTCGTCTGACCGGAAAGGTATGCACCCCAACCGGTCATGGACGCGTCGGTGTAAAGGGTCATAGCAGGAGATGCCCGAACCAGAGGAACTCCTGCCAAGACATTGCTCTCGAGAGTCCACCAACGAGCTGATTCCTTCACCGACTCCGGCAGAGGAATGTGCACATCCCACTGCCGAGACACAGGAGACCAAACTGACAGAGGGAACAGCTGGAGCGGACGGATGTGAAGCCGACACAAGGGAACCACATCCGCCAGTGAATTCAGGTAACCGAGGAACCGAAGGAACCATCGAACTTGAATCCGCTCCACACCGACCAGAACGGAGACCAACAGAGAGGCCTTTTCGAACTTGGACGCTGGTGGAAGGACAAACCCCAGATCGGTTCTGAACGGATAACCGAGGAAAACAAAATCCTGGGAGGGGAGAACCTCCGACTTTTCCCTGGAAGGGATGAACCCTAGGCGGCACAGAACGCCCAGAACCGACCTCGTGCTCCGGGACAGGATAACTGGATCCACTTGGAGCAACAGGGAGTCGTCGAAGTAGATGTGTGCATCTACCCCGAGGTAGAGGTGCCCCACTACTACCTGCAACAACTTGGTGTAAACCAAGGGGGCCGTAGTGAGGCCAAAGGGCATAGCGCGAAACTGGTAAACCTTTTGCTCGAAAGAGAACCTGAGGAACTTCCTTGCCGACCTCCTGACAGGGATGTGAAAGTAAGCATCCTTCAGATCGATGGACGTAGCCCACATCTATGGACGCAATGATGCGTTGTGGCGTTTCCACCTGGAAGTGCAGGGAATCGACGTACGTGTTGAACGTACTGAGGTCGATAATAGGCCTCCAGGCACCGGACTTCTTCTTCACGAGGAAGACCCGGGAGTAAAACTCTGGACACCACCGGTCCGGTGAAAGTTCCTTGATCGCGCTCTTCGCGATCATGGCCTGAACCTCCGACCTGAGAGCCTCCACCTTTCCCGGATCGGTAGAAGAAGGGAAAAAGATAGGCACTCGCGCCAGAGGTGGATCCCGAAGGAGCGGGATGCAGAGACCCTTGGACACAACCCCTAGGGCCAAACTATCTGATTTCATTCCACTGAGGAACGAAATAGGACAGCCGACCGCCTACTGGCAAGTCCGCCAGGTGCCAATCTAGCCCTTCCCAAATCACATCGGCTTTGCCTCTACCCCTATGGGAACCCCTACGGCGGAAGGAAGATTTCCGACGTTCCGCCGGAGCGGAGGTCGGAGGGGCAGCCTGCTGCTGAAAAGCAGCCGTTTTTGCCTTCTTCCTCCTACGCCTGGAGGAGCCAGAAGCAAGCCTCTTCCTGCTAGCGCCCTTGCCTGCAGAATTGTGGCGTGCATCCTCAGACGCAAACGGGTCCAACCTCATCTCAGATTGCACTGAGGAAAGGGCCCCGCGAAACAAATCCTCGTCAGTCAAAGGAGCATCCAAAAGGATAGCCCGATAGGAATCGCCGACTGGCAGTCCAGAAAGGTCCCGACAACCGGCGAGCAACAACAAGGTGTGACATGGCAGCCGACAGTAAGGCCATCGCATCAAGATGTGCCTTGCAAATTGCCTGGCTGAGGCATCAGTCCAACCTTGCTGAGAGCTGCTCCACCGACTTGCAGCTCGCAGCCAGCAACGCGGGGGTAAACCAGTCTGCGTAGGACAGAACATGGAGAGCCAGCCTAAGGAGACGCTCCAACATAAAGTGCTCCCTAGGCCCCATCACAACCTGGTCAACACAGCGTCCCGGCCACTTATCCAGATCCCTCTCAAGGGAAACGGAATTAGGGGCCAAGACTGGGTCGTGGATGCGGTACGTATCGGCAGCTAAATCTGCGATATCAGCAACCACGACCTGTAAAGCCGAAAGGGAAAAGGCTTGCAAGCCTTGCTCAACTTCTGCTTTAATAAAGCGTTGACCTGAGCGAGGGACGAAGCAACGCCTCCTCTCTCCGCAGGGGAACTAGCAGAGGCCAAGGAGGCAGATGCTAGGGGAGGCAACATGCTCTGAAGGAGCGAAGTGCGCTCCGGGACGGCCGAATCCGAGAAAGGGCGTGGGCAAACCCCGTCCCCCAGAAGCTTCATAACTTCTGCACGTAAAGTGCGAAACAAAGCCGAAACCTCTGGAGGCACCGGATCAGCATCTCGTGGCCGGAATTGGGAAACATCGGAAAGACCTTCCGAGTCCAACCTAGACGAATCCAACGACTCCAAATCAGAGTCAGAAAACTCGCCGACTCTATCCTCATCCCGAGTCTCCGTTAAATTGGAGCAACCGGGAGAGCCCCGAAGAACGTCCCTCTCATCACTAGGAGAGGCACTCGCCGAATCCACCTCCATCAACGAACCTAGGGCCACCTACACTACCGCCGCAAAAAGCCACACCTGGCTGACCTGACAAACTCCACCCAGACTGACCTACAGCAGGGCCAAAACCTGTAGGGCCAGTAAAACAAGCCCCACCAGGGGAGCAGCATGCACCGGCAAAACCAAACGCAGCCGCGCTGGCACCTACCATAGGAAAACCCGGGGAGAAGGCACAAGGAATAGAGCTGGGAGCATAGGTTTTAAAAATCCAGCCGAGGCTAGCGAGGCCGAGGCATCACTTACCACCGGACCGGGCAGCAAATGCTACACAGTGGTGGACGGCGTGCTAGACGCTATCACCACGCCAGGGGCTACATCAGGGATGCAGGGAACCCCGGGAGCAGACAAAACTGCCGGGGGCCGGTCTCCGACAGCAACACCCTCAGGAATAGAGCGGACCGGCAGGCGGCTACCAACAGAAGCGTCCGCGGACAACATGGCTGGCCTGTTTAACATTCCCATGGGAATGTTGGGCCACCTGCTCTCCCACCACAAATTGGGAGAGAAGGCCGCCCCCTGTCCTTTAGTCACTGTGGTGACCGGGACAGAGCCCAAACCCTCACCCACGTCAACCGACAAAACGCAAAACGGGGGGGGGGGGCCTGTCACAGGGCTGCTCCAGAGAGCAAGACCGATATCTAGGACATTAAGGGTGGGGGACGGAAGCCTCATAAATGACCCCCAGGACAGCGCCTTTGAGAGGGAGAAATCTCCACCTCAAAGTAAACAAACCGTCAAACTCGAACACGTGGCCGGAGCCTGATCGCAAAACGGCGCAAAATAAAGCAAAACGCTAAATTGGAACCCCGTAGTAAGAACCAAAACACGTCCGTAAACACGGAATGCTGAAGGAATTATGAAGTAGGAAGCATGGCTTCGTGTCTGATCACGTGCGTGAATACTGCCGTCTGATTGGTGGGTTTTCCAGGGGTTCCCCATCGGGGGGGGGGGGGAATTCTTTATTTACGTATGTTAAGAGCCAATAAAGGTTGGTATATGCATTATAATGACTGTGGTAACGTATTTTGAAATAGAAAATACATGCGCAGTGCTGGGACATACCATTACTCGCCCAGGGATACTTTTTCTTTTATTTCCCCCCCAAAATATTGCTAGCCCCTCTTTTGCTGGTCCCTGCCCCCAAAGAAAACCCTTTCAAAATGTTATGATAGAGTAATATATGGAAGTAAAAAATGATATACATGTACTCGTACTACAATACGGAATGAACTGTCTCGCTCTATATACTACTCCGACGACTGTCCCAGGTAGCAGTATACAGTAGAGGGTTGTGGCCATGCGTGATATTTTTGTTAAATGGCTAACCCCTGTATAGTGATATGTAAAAAAAATAAAAAAAAAATAACTGTACTAAAATTGGTATAAGCATGATGAAGTGGGCTATGTGAGCTTCACCTTTGTAAAAAAAAAAAAAGTTTTACAACTTTACTGGGACCCAGATAATTCTGCAACCAGGTAGGTAATCTTTAATTTCAGACAGAACTTAGGAAAAAAATAACTAGTTGCGGGGGTCAAATTTTGGCATTTTTTGGTAATTTTTGATGTGGTAACCATGGTTTTCACACAAGTGACATACATAGAAAAAAGATGTTTATACACTTCTTAGTACTTTATATGTATTGTAAATGTAATGCAGTTTACAAATATATATACATGTATAAATGTGTTGTGTAGGGTAAATCCGCTGTGTTTACATTTCCTCGACATGTGCCTTATTTATCAGAGTCGGGCCATTTCTACTGTACACTGCTACCTTATACACATAGAACTTGATTTTTTCTGAAAAATTGCCTTTTTATGCTTGATTCAGCTTCACTTTCATTCATTATTGTTTAAAACTACTCAAAAACGCCAAAGAAACCCCGTTACATAGATAGGTCAATATATAGGTCAATAGCCTATTACCTGTGGATGTATAAAGGGGGTTAACTCGCCCTTTTCACAGGCACTTGTGAAATTCTGCAATTCATCACATATGTGTCAATTGTGTTATCGGTAAAGTTGATACCAAACATCAAATAAAAATAGTTCACAGGCTATCTCCTGATGCATTCATACAAGATTTCAGTCTGTTTCACTCAGTTCAGCACCCAGTAGCCATGGTTACTAATACATAAAGTTGTATTTATTGAAAATGGGTAAAATATCTGTTTTCATTCTAATTACACTCTTTTGGATGTTTTTTTCCACTTGATTCAGCATACAGATTAAATAAGCAAAGTCAGTGATGTGTATAAATTTTATTTCCATAATTACAGCTGAAAAAAACCTTTTTTTCTAGTGAAATATGTTAGATGAACAATTTCTGAGGGTCACTGTCAATTCTAGGCGAGGAAAGTAAATAACGGTTGCTATGGTGGCACTTGTCTGATTTTTCAGAATATCTGACATTTCTGTGCTGTTCATCGGTTACAGGAAGTGTGTCTGTTGCTAGTTTGTTGTTGAGATGGGTTTCCTAGTGTTCAATTTTTTGATATCAGTGATCCTCGATGATGTCATAGATGCCCATTGATGACGTCATAGTTATGATGACATCACAGTTACTATGACGTCATCAAACAAGACACTAACATCATAGCATCACTGTACTGATTGTTTTTCACATGCACATGATCTCAAAGCATCATATTTCACCCAAAAAGAAATTTTATTCATGAAAACTACAAACCTATTCAAGTTTTCATTTTTCAGATTACCTCCCTTTGTTGGTAGTTTGAGAGCAGAATTGGTCAATAAACCTTTCAGGAGAATTCACATTACTCGGTCACTATTGAAGTGAGAAAGGAAACGGATACATCGTTGTGTTCATTGTCTCATTTTCCAGACATTTAAAAGGTTTTAATTAAATTTTAGGAAAAAGAAAGTGATGTATAAGGTATCAGTATACAGTAGAGGGTTGTGGCCATGGGTGATATTTTTGTTAAATGGCTAACCCCTGTATAATGACATGTAAAAAAATATAAAAATAAAACTGTACTAAAATTGGTATAAGCATGATGAAGTGGGCTATGTGAGCTTTACATTTATATAAAAAAAAAGATTTTTGGGTTCGATAATAAAATTTTGGCCATAATCCGAAAGGGTGCCTACACATAAAAAGCTAGCTTTACAGAAGGTAAAATTTTGACAACAGCACACGACGTAAAATTGCAAAAAATCAAATTTTACAACTTAACTGGGATCCAGATAATTCTGCAACCAGGTAAGTAATCTTTAATTTCAGACAGAACTTAGGAAAAAATTACTAGCTGCGGGGGTCAAATTTTGGGTCAAAAATAGCAATTTTTGGCATTTTTTGGTAATTTTTGAGGTGGTAACCATGGTTTTCACACAAGTGACATATACAGAAAAAAAAATTGTATACACTTCTCAGTACTTTATATGTATTGTAAATGTAATGCAGTTTACAAATATATATACATGTATACATGTGTTGTGTAGGGTAAATCCGCTGTGTTTACATTTCCTCGACATGTACCTTGTTTATCAGAGTCGGGCCATTTTTACTGTACACTGCTACCCCAGTAATATTCCTAGCCCCCTTTTTTGCTGGTCTCTGTCCCCCCAAAAACCCTTTCAAAATGTCATAATAGAGGAATAAGGAAGTAAAGAAAGATATAGTCATACTACAATACGGAATGAATGGTCTCGCTCTATATACTACTCAGACGACTGTCCCACTAAAAAAGGTCCATTTCTAAATAACTTCTGCCATAAATATTCATAACCCGTTTGTTGATGGTGACTTGTGTGGCCGGAAAGCCGGCTATACCAGGAGAGGAAAACCCCTCCACCGAGGCGCTGAAAACAGTGTTACCGATGTACTGAAAGCAGTACACCCACGTTAGGGAACGTTAGGGTAAAGTTAATGCTGGTTAGCTTGACGTATTTCAGTAATCCGGGAGGGGAGGGTTTTCACCGTTATAGAATAATTACATTTACCTATAGTTATTAATGTACGTATTTTTTGCCATGTTTTAACGGCTACANGTAAAGTTAATGCTGGTTAGCTTGACGTATTTCAGTAATCCGGGAGGGGAGGGTTTTCACCGTTATAGAATAATTACATTTACCTATAGTTATTAATGTACGTATTGTTTGCCATGTTTTAACGGCTACATTAGTCGTGTGATATGTAATAAACGGTAGTTAACTTTGAAACAAGGTGTTGATTGGTTTATAACTCGGATACTCCTCCACATCTGACGGACCTGTGTCTGACTGTACAAACGGACGCAGTGGGACATTCTTGGGGATTGCCACCGGTCAGTTTGTCGGTAGTTTTGGGGAAAACCTAAATTACTATACGATCACTTACATCTACCGACATTGGACAGGCTCTCCCGACGGACGTCACAAAAAAAATATTCCTAGCCCCTTTTTCAGTACTTTTTATGCACTAGGTAAAATACATATACTCGGACATGTCTAAAAGCAAGTATAATATTTCCATGTATAAATATGCAAAAAATTTTAACACATTTAAACCTACGCGTAATTACAATAATTACAATAAGTTTATATAATAATCCTAATTATTTTGTAAATGACCCTAGCGACTAAACAACGACTGTTCTGAGTACATCTTGACTAAATTAGATGAACAGACCACATGGGCTTTGTGAACAATGCTTACTTGCCGAAATAAACGCAATTTAAATTCCAATTTAATCCGCCTTGCTACTTCCAGTCGCCATTTTGTAAACAGGACCTAATCTCGAGCTGATGCGCGTTTGAAAGAGTTTAAAGTATTGCAAAGCTTCTAAACGATCGTGCCCAGAACATACTCTCTAAGGATGATGTTTTTGATAAATTTACTATCAGTTATTTACTATATTTCTTTTCTGTATCACTTTCATTAATTCATAAAAGAACAAATTTATTTTTTCCCCTTCAA